CCCTTATAAAACATATAATGTTAACCAGAACATAAGATTAGACTTACAGTCATTGCTGTTGAAGGTGTAAATAAAGATTTAGGACACAGGAGGTGAAGTTTATACATGGATAGGCGGGTTTTTTCTGTAAAATTGTTTACTATCTACTACTGCTTCTGCTACCCATAATGCATTGCAACTTCTTCTTCTTCTTCTTGATTTTTTTGGCGGTTGGCAAACAACTGAAGGAAGCATTACCGCCACCAACTGGTAAAGAATGTGGTCCACATGACAAAAAAACAACCTCTCTTTCCTTTTATATACAACCTGCACCGTTTTAAAAAATAAAATATAGCTTGATAGCCTCTGTTTCCTGAATCTTTCTGCAATAAATCAATAATGTCTAATTTCATTTTACTAAGATGTCTAATCAACTTGTTTCTTTGAACATGATATTGCAAAATAATGTGTTCTATGGTTTCCTCTTCTCCACACTCACATGTCCCCGTCTGATGTTCTCCTATTAAACATAATGTACTGTTCAGTCCAGTGTGCCCAATTCTGAGTTGTGAAATACTAGTTTCTTCTCTCCTGTTTCTTTCTGTTCTTCTCCTTTCTCCAATTTTCCTTTGGATTTTACTTTGTATAAAACCACCGGCCTTTCCTTTCTTCCTCGCGTAATTTTTGCCACTTTTCTTTCATTTTTTGTTTTATTATACCCTTTATTTCTGTTATACTAAACCCAACATTAATATCAACCACATCCCGACTAGTGTTCTCCTTAGCCATCCTGTCTGCCTTTTCATTCCCCATAACCCCGTGATGTGCTGGAACCAGTATAAAGTTTACTGTAATCCCCATCATGTTGATCCTATAGAGTGTTTGTTGTATTTCAATTAATATATCTGGTCTACTATCTGACTGGTTGTGTTGCAAACTGGACAATGATGAACTAGAATCTGAGCAGTTGATTGATTTTAATGGTCTTACCTCTTCTACCCACTGAACTGCTAAAAGTAAAGCGAGCATTTCTCCTGTATAAACTGATACTCCATCACTAAACCTTTTTCCTACTTTAATATGAAATTGTGGTACTATGAACGCTATCCCAATTTTATTAGTTGTATTTTTAGATGCGCCTGTGTATATATGTACATAATTATAATACTGATTAATGTATTCCTGTACTGTATATTTATCCATAGTAAAAAATTTATTCTTGTTTTTCTTTTCTAATAATGAAAAATCTACTATAGCATCAGGAAGTACCCAAGGTGGTGTTATGGGTAATGGAACTGTCTGACATATATTTAGTTGATCTAAATGGATTTCATTAACTTTGGCTTTTATCATCCACCCAAAGCTTTTTATTTGTTCCTTTTCCCAACCTGATTTAAGCACCTCTAATGTTGGATGATCATTTCTTTGTCCTTGTAAATTTGTCCAGTAGTTTAAAGATAGCTGTTCCCTTCTAAATTTAAGAGGCATTTCTCCCATTTCAACCTGTAATGCTGCTGTTGAAGATGTTTTAAAAGCACCTGTACATATTCTTAGTGCCTGGTATTGGATATTATTTAACTTATTGAGGTTTGTATCTGCTGCTGAGTTGTAACATATGCACCCATAGTCCAAGACTGACCTAATTAATCCAGTATAAATGGCTGTCAATGAATTTCTATCCGCTCCCCACTCAGTTCCAGCTAAACACCTCATTATATTTAACACTTTCCTACATTTATCTATTTTCTTAATGTGTACACCCCATGTGATTCTTTCATCAAACCACAACCCGAGAAATTTAAATTCTTTAACTCTTTCCAACTCCTGACCGTATAATTTTAGCTTGATTTTCTCATCAACTCTTTTCCTTGTAAAGAACATTATTTTAGTTTTATCTACAGAAAATTTAACTCCCCATTTATACGACCATTTTTCTACAACTAAAATTTCTCCCTGAAGCTTCTTTATATTAAATTCTAGATTTCTTCCTCTTCTCCACATTGCCCCATCATCAGCACAAAGTGAAAATCCCATTCCACTCTCTACTTCCTTAAACATATAATTAACTATCACTGAAAATAATAATGGACTTACTATACTACCCTGTGGTGTCCCATTTTCTATATTACAACTCTCAGAATAATCCTTCCCTATTCTCACTTGTATTTGTCTTCCTTCTAAAAAAGTTTTAATCCATCTAAACATACGACCATTGATAGCCATTCTTCTAGTTTTGATTAATAATCCTTCCCTCCACATCATATCATACGCTCGCTCTATATCAGAAAATACTGCCACAACACTCTCTTTATTCACTTGAGCCTTTCTAATTTCATGCTCTAAACATAAAACTGGGTCCATTGTACTTCTCCCTCTCCTGAAACCACTCTGATACTTTGACATAAGTCCTTTATTTTCCATATAGTATATTAATCTTTCATTGATCATTTTCTCCATTATTTTACATATGTTGGATGTTAATGCTATAGGTCTATAATTTCCTGGTTTTGACTCATCTTTCCCTGGTTTTCTAATTGGTACAATCACTGCTTCCTTCCAACTTTTTGGAATTTCCCCATCCTCCCATACTCGGTTATATAATTCTAATATAATATTTTTAGATGATCTACTTAAATTACTTACCATCGCATAACAAACCTGATCTTTTCCTGGACCTGACAATTTATATTTTTTAAGTGCCCTATTCAGCTCTGTTATTGTAAACAGCATATTCAGTGAATCATTTGTGTGAGACAAACAGCCATTCACTCTCTCACTCACACCTAGAGACAATTTAGAGTTACCATTCAGCCTAACATCTAGGTTTTTAGTCTATTGGAGGAAACAGGAGTACCCGGAGAAAACCCACGCATGCACAGAGAGAACATGTAAACTCCACCCAGAAAGGCCCCCGGACCAAAATTTGAACCAGGGCAACTTGCTTGATGAGAGGCAGAAGCTCTACCAACTGTTCCACCGTGCTGCCCTCCATCATGTCCTAATCTCCTTATTTCCTTTACCAATGTGCCCATTCAAGTCTGCTTCCTTCACCACTTCCTTCTCTGCATCATGCCAGCCTGCATTTTTTTTTTTTGCATATCATTGTCACTAAATTTAGAGTTTATACCCTCAATCCTACACTTCTGACTCTCCTCTTGTCTCCTGGCACATTTCCTTCCTTGTGTTCTTTGACTAACAGTCACACAATGTCGCCGTCACCCTGTTTGTCAACAGATAGCTTGGCAGTTGTTTTAACCAGGACCTCAACAAGTAAATGTGTTTTATGCTGGATGCTGTTCCTGAAAAAAAAATCCCATTTGCCCAGGATTGGGACCAGCATGAGAGATACACTAGCTGAGATGAAATGCTCTTTTAGCTGCACCCATAGATCTTTAAAGCAGCTTTGCCATTGATGTGTGACTCCACCTGGCTCTCATCTAATCTGTTCTTCTCAGGTGATTTTCCACTGTGACTTGTTTCCCCTCTCTGTGGGTGGGGAAACAAGTGTCATTGCAAGGTGGGCGGTATAGTAACAGGTCATTGTGTTCAAGTAACTCTGCCCGTTTTGGTTCTAATTGTCCTTTAATCAGACTTCAATTTCTTTAGCTTATCCCAGCACGGCTTATAACTCCGGGTGTGGCCATGCTGTGCCATCATCTTTGATTTCTGTATGTAAATGCACTCATTTATTGTAGAACTGTCCGTCAACATGATCAGAGCGGGAATGGAAGTTCAGATGTGGTTTTGATGGGTGGGTCATCCAGTGATGTAGCTTCACTGGCCAGTCAACTGTTGCTGTCTGCCTACGTCAAAATCCTCACTTCTGAGGAGTTCACCATCAGGTTCTCCTGCATGAAACAAATCAGGTCCATCAGGTTCTCC